AGAAAGGGGGAGACTGCCTATAGACAGCAATGGTATTAGGGACTTTATACGCTCTGGGGAGAATAGACTTGAAGACAAGAGAGCACAGGGGACGATGGAGACGCAGCCTTCATCGCAGCGGATATTCGGAGCTCCAAAGCGGGCGGTCCCGGAAGCAGTAAGCTCTTGACCCCTTACCGCGGCTCCCCAGTTTCGAGAATACCTTTAGCTCTATCCTACTCGAGGGAAGGATCTATACACCAAATTTATCGTGGAGTGCCTTTAGGTCCAATCTCTATAGAATATTGGACTGCTAAGAAAACACCTATATTCGGCATAATAATGTAACAACATTGGCAAGAAAATATAATGAGTGAAGCAATCGATTCTGCTTTGTCACTGTTGTGATAAGTAAGGAGGTAGGACGCATAAAAAATCTATCAATACAGAAATTATTGTTTTTATCACGATTCAAAAGCGTTGGTGGTATTGGTGCACGGTCTCCAAGGCCGACTAGCCGTCTCAGGCTTGAAAGCTAACGTCAAGATTGTCCTGGGAGTACGTTCATTTTGGTCCTGCCCCGAATCTCGCAAACAACGGATTCAACATGTAGGAATAAGGATTCCAGTAAGAAGGGTAGAACGTTGGCCACATGGGCGGCATTCCCAGCTGCGATGGTGTGGCAGCCATGACTGACATCGGCTTGTCGAACAAAGCTGCGTAAGGGTGTTGATGTGGTGAGTAGGCACGTTTGGGAGATGGTGTTGCCTAAAAAGGAAACCATTATGCATTGTTGATTGGCCAATGACGGGGTATGCTGCTTTGTGATTGGTCAGCCTTTTTTCAATAAATATGGAACAGATCAATAAAACGATGTTGACAACTAACCGAACTGTCCTCTGGTGTGCACCTCTTTCGTTCACCACCGTCGCGGAAACCCTTCGCAAAAGGGTTGTGTTCGATTTTCAACTGCGTGATCGTGCTGTTCTGGTAGGCGGTTACGGCAATGAATTCGGTCTCGGGAATTCGTATCCGGGCAACCTTAAAGGCAGAGTTTACTTGAGAAGGTAGTCTATTAGAAATCACGGTAGAGGTGCTCGCATTGCAACTCTCATTGGTCTACCCTCTTCGTCGCTACGTTCTCTCTGCTAAACGGCTAGAGTCACAGACTGCGGAGATGGTGGGCGTGTCGCGACGCAGCGCGCCGCTTATAGAACCGCTAGCTGACCTGTATCAAATTGTTCGGTACCAGCGTCAGTAATAATAGGCGTGGGTGCCGAGTGACGAAAAAGAAAAAGAAGCAATGCAAACGCGTCGATGAAGTCTCCTCGACACATATAGTGCCCTTCCCCCCAGTGTGTAACGGGCTATGGGACTGGAAGTTGCTGAACGCGCTGTTTGCTACTGCTGCCACCTACGCGTATTTAATGTAGCCGCACGCGTCGTGGTTCAGCAGTTGCGTGTCAAGGATGTGGTCGAGTATCTTCGGTCCATAGTCTCATTATTGTGAGGCACTCCGCGTACAGTCACGACAACAGGCACACTGTGAACTCCTCTAGCCTATACCCCATGGATAGTCTTGTTCGAATGACCTTCATCGGGTTGTCTGCTTCAAATCGGCTTTTCCGCAATATCATTCTTTGTGGGGTAGCGTCTAGGACCCCTTCTACTATTTTGAACGACTCTTCGGTGCCTTTGAAAGTTCTCTCCTGACACCAAATTGGCGCACTTTGGGTCTGGAACTGTGTGTGAGTCCAGAAAACTTGAGAAGAGCGAATTATGCAAACATTTTTTTCGATTTTGCACAAGTTGTGTATCTTGCCGCGGCCCTCCCCTAGCTGTCCGCCACTTTGTCGAGACGATAGATAGTTACTTCGTTTGCGTTGATCGAATGAAGTCGTCGAAATCAAAGCGTACTCTCTCAGTAGTTCATGCTCTTACCTGTTTTGGTGGATGGCTCGTTGATGCAGACAGGAAAGGAGTTTCACTCTGGGCAATTTCGAATATGCTCAGCACGGGGATGTATTTGTGCATCGATTGGAGGAAAATCTAAAATGTGATCGATAAATGATAGCAGAATTTCATAGCTCTATAAAGACCCGGCTGTCTGCTACAGTAACATAAAGGCCGCCTTATTACCCTTTACAGCGTTAACCGAGCGCCGCGGTGACCTATTTTTCTACCGACCGAGCGCTGGTGTAATTATACATTCAAGATTTAATGCGTGAATCTTGGTTACGGTATCGTTGGCATACCACTAGAATCGCTGATTCACACAATTTTTAAAACAGTGACTTGACTTTAAGAGTAGCTTTTGTCGCCTGAGGCTCAAGGCCAGCATCACTGTGAGCTCAATCCATTCCAATATAGTGAGTTCGATAAACAGCTTCAAACTGCGGTGATTTCGGAGGTCCAGCCTTTAGCAGCGGGGGTTCCAGGGACCGTTCATTTCGAGACGTTTTAACCATTAGTCGATGGTACCATTGGGCAAAATTGAGTGCGATCAATTCGCCGACATCAGGGAAAAAGGCGCTTATGGCATGAGGGGTGATACCCAAAACAGGGCCGATGGTATGTGACACCAAGACTAAGCCTAAGATAGAGAGAGATTACAAATTGCTTAAACCTTCCCCAGAATCCCTCCTCTCCCTCAGACTTAGCCCCAAGGACAATAATCAATTGGCTCACTCGTTTGAATTCCCTCACCCCAACGTTATGAGCGCAGGGAAAAACCTCTAGCATACCCTGGATTAGCTTCAATAGAAAAAATAGATGACGACATCATTTAATCCGATTTCAACAAAGGAAATTCTGCACAAATATTTGAACCCTTCGTGTTGGATTGCTCGAGAAGCAATCGATGATCAATCTCCACAAAAGGACTGTGGACGGACATTCAAATAGTTTCTGTGAATTTTGTTCTAGCGGGATCCTGCCAAGGTACTGACGTTAACTCACGTTTATTTCGTTGTTTAGGGTCGGCCTTGCACTCAAACTGGATCTTCGCTAAAGGTTACATGCTCGGCTCAATCGGTTTTTCAGACGCGCCATGCAGACCTCATTCACGGGAAACTCGCAGGTCCACCTGGACTCGCTCTACACCTCCACCACTGGCTCGCAATTCAGTCGATGACCAAATGGCTGTCTTCGACATGTAGGGCAAATTTGGTACTAAATGAGCAACCCTGTAGGTTGGAAGGCCTGAAGCATGTTTTGGAAGTATTCGACCCTAACGATTAGGGACGTGGGTGGCGGCTCACCATCCAGTGTAATCTCAGAGCAACACAGAACTGTGAACCGTTAAAAGGTTGTCTATTTGCAGACCCCATTTCTGGGCCAGCGGTGCCTTCCACACGTCAGACGTCGCAAGTCTGACGTGGGCTTTCAGAGCCGTAGCGCTATTACCGTATCGATGCGGACAGCTACAACGACGCATAAGTAAGTGTGCGTCGTGAACGAATCACGACCTCGCGTGCGTGCATATCGCCGTCGTCGATCTGTTGTCAGTCAATTGCGTGGCTTTTGTTAGGCGATGGATGCGCTCCGCTATCTATTGGCAACGATCTACCGACGACGTCCCGCTGCTGTACCGTAATCGATGTGAAGACGTCAGCAGATAAGCAGAAGTTTGTCAGATCGCGTAATTGACACATCTTTGAATAGATTAGTGTCGTAGTGCGTACTGATGGGTCGCCATGCCCATCGTAAAGACACAGGTTGGCTCCGGACGCCCGAAGCCTTGATTTCGATTGCTTGCGAAGAGGAATAGCAGGGGAGGGATCGTAGCTCAGCGCCTGTACCGAGTTATGACATTCGCCTTGGATATTCAGTATCTACATGAGGCTCTCGTCATGGTTGAGGTTCAAAGCCATCTCTCGTTTCAAAAGGTTCTCGTCAGATGTTACACATGTACCCATAAATTGTACCTGCGGCCGTTTACCAGTTCTAGAATCTCGAGTGGCATAAAAAAAGGAAATGACTTACTAGACGTATTCCGAATGCATACAACTCCCTCTTTGCTAAGGCCAATTGGATCTCGAAATCGGTAACCCGTCGCTCAACAGTGGAAACACAGGGGGAAGGTCGCATATGCGAATTCGTGTTTTGCGATTTCGATTTCTGGAGAAGGTGGAGATTGTAGTTTGGATTTGTTAGAAAACTATTCTTGCTGATATTCTAGCGGAGGGGCGACCTGGGGTCGTTTTTTGGGAATTTAGGCCCTTCACAGGTGCCTCGAAAAATAGCATGGAGCAAAAAAAACAGCTTTTTTCCTTTTCAATGGACATATTTATACGATAAGTCCCCTTTCGCCTCTTTCTTCGCGTCCTCGAGCAAAGAGTGGTTGACTCGATGGCAGTTCTAGTGGAAGGTTTGGAATTGGTTTGGTGGGTCATCGGGTACCAATGACATCAAATACTACTACACATGGTAATCTTGGTGGTGAGGAAAAGGGGGACGCACTGTGGAGTAGAGGTCCCTACAAGTGTGCTGAAGTCACGGGTGATGCCAGCGGGGGTAGTAAAATTGTCCGCGAGAACGACGACGGACGCAATGAACCGGGTGTGCGAAATGCTGCATCGTCGAAATCTTATGTTCTCAAGAACTGGTCTGATCACCAGAATTGATTTAGATGATTGTGAGCCAATCACTTGTCACACTTAGCAGGCCGTTTTTGTCCAGAACTAATTTTGAAGAGATTAAGGAAAGTTGTGCCACTTCTAGTGCTTCAAATATGAATCCCTCGTCATTTCTCCACCTTCCCTTCTACCGTTTACGTTAACAACGACTTTCAGTTCTTGAAGCTGAAAGCCGGCCTCGGCAAGCTGGGGGCACGGCAAGCGCTTGGGCCAAGTCCATAACGGCCGCCAGACTGGCATCGTGCCAAGCTGCCGCCGCTTTTCGGTATGATGTAAAATGAAGGGGGTAAATGGTTAAGACAAGAAGCCGGTTCTTATTTCGCCCGAAAGAGGGTTCAAGGTGAAGAGAGGTCTTATTGAATATTGAGAAGCACCGGTCTCAACAGTTCCATTGACTCAACGTTATCCTCTGCGCAAGACGAACTCTTCGGACCTACTCCCCCTGATGCCCCACCATAGGAGCTTAGTTGGCACTACAGAAACGTTAATCCTGTCTAATCCCATCAATGTTGACGTTTCTTATGCATAATTATCGATGCCAATTAGCAAAGTGATGTTAGTCGGGGGAGCACGCCCTGTTGTTCGTGGTCGATCGCCGGCTTTGTCGGAACGATCTGATCTGATCAGATACGACCACGGCACACTGCCGTCTTAGACCCTAATAACTCTTGTATTTGACGACGTTTACAACCTAATGGCGCTGTGTCGAGCATTAACCAGTAAAGAACAGAAGGAAGTCAATTAATGGGCTGACCACCACCAAATCCCCACAGTGTTTGGCATATCTCATCGACCCGGCAGGTAGTTGGTAAGGGTAGAATTTTTTATGGGAAACATTTGACTTGGGAGGAATTATGCGCTTCCGCCTACTGAGCCGTTTGACCGTGGATTTTAACAAATCAGTCTTCTCCAGGGAATTTGATCACTGGATTGGGTTGTTACAGTACCTCGACCCACGTCAGGCTACCGTAATTATTTGAACGCAATGCGATTAAAATATCGCGGGTGAGGTGAAGGAAATGTCGTGTCATCCTTTCTAGGCGTTTCCAAGCAAAATGCGACTTAAGAACCAAACTCACATGGCTTGGATTGATGTCGCTGAAGTTGTTGGTGATCTTGACGCGTTCGAAGTTCACCGCTTGGCGCATCCAGTGTGCACCAGGCATGACACCGTCATGGTGCATGACGTTCTTCGAAACTCCGCCACTCTCTCCGCGACCAGCAGCACTCCATTCACCACCAGAAAACTTATACGAGAAAAGCGTTATGTAATTATGTAAGACACTCACATAATGAAAGGGCTATATTACAAAGAAACGGCATTTAAAGGTAAGCCGCGGGATAAAACCAGTGATAAGGGCGTCTCGTAGTGATGACTGAGCTGCGGGAGCCTGAAGTGAAAGAAAGGTGGAGATCTCTGAGGTCGCTGAATGAGGCCTGACCTTCAAAAAAGGTCGTCCAGAAGCTACGTGGCTTGGAGTGAGGCAGGCGGTCAAAGAAGGCAAAACACGCGAGAGATCGCCATTTGGAGAGCACGCCGATATCGAGGTGGGTGGGAAGCGTTTCAACGGGGGTTGATGGTTGCAGGCCTAACCGCGCAGCTTTTGCCGCGAATCTGAAGTGATCTAAGTAGGTAGTGGTCTTACCATTTCCTTCACGGTATCCTTTCTACAAGTCGGGCTAATCCCGGAATTTGCCTTTAACGCAGAGCACCCAAGCCCACGAATCCAAGTCATGCCAATGTTCAGGAAAGTAATCCAAGAGATCGATCCAAGTCATGCCCATGTTCAGGAAAGTGATACTTATTTTCTACTCTGGGGAAGGGTGCGGGAGGGGTTCCATGTACGTCCAGAATTGCGGGTACCGTAATCCGCTCAGTGACGAAAACCTACGGCGAGTTTATTTAACTGCCTATGATGGAATGGGAGTTTTAAAAACCGCTTTCTAAGAAAATATATCAGTTAAGCCCCAGACTCTGCGGAGGATGACCGGGGTTATTTTACATGCTCTCCATGCTGACTTAGGCTAGGAGTTGTAAGTTGCTAGGTGGGGCAAATTATAGGCACGGTCCAGGGCTAAATTTCACATAGAATCTGTACAATCCAACTAAGCCCTCCATGTCTTTTAGTCCGCCTTAGTTGATATCAGATTCGTTGAACGGACAAAAATACCACATTGTACACAGGGTAACCCCGACAGTCATTATCAAATCACATTCAGGAAGCCAGAATAATGTGAATGCCGGTAGAATGCGTTGCGCATCCCAGAAGACTATGGTTCATGCCATACGTTTCATTATTTTATTGTTGACCATAAATAAATTCAATATGATATTTTTGCACCTAGAAGCGAGCGAAATGGTTAGCCTTGGAGAAACCTCTGGAAAAAATTCTGATAGAAAAATCACTGAAAGCAATCAATCAAAAGTCATTCTATAATGAAAATGCTTCACAGAAGCGGAAAAGTGAAATGCTGAGATAAAGAGAATAAAATAAAAATATGGCTAAAAAAAGCTAAGGAAACAAATACACAATAAACTGAGGAGGAACAAACCTATTGTCATCGACTTGCTCAATCTGAAGAACAAGGCCATAAGCGTGAGTCGGTTCGAGTCCCTCGATTGTGTATTCCAATTTTGGGAACATTTTTCTGAATTAATAAACAATAACAAGCTACAAAACATAAGATTGACGCAAGACCATTTTCAGGCATATTTGATTAATGCCTATACCATATTTGCTGAGCTTTTGACATGGGGGGGGGGGCTATTGAGGAAAGGTAAAATACTGTGAGCTGGTACTAAATCTAAATTTTTTTTTCAGAAATATTTTCTCAACTTGAATTGTCTACTGAATGTCAGAGAAGTGCATGGCGCATTCTAGTAAATGAGCAGAAATTACTGCAAAAGTTTGCCGACAAAGGCTTACAGGAATCATTCGACAAGCGTGCTGTACGAGATTGAACACGTCATTGAGAAAAAGCGGAAGAATAAATATCTTTCTTGAAACCTAATAAAAATATTATCCGGATATTTTCACAAGAGTGCCAAAACATGGGCAAAACTGTCGCCCCAGCCCGGATTCGTCCTGGTAGCAATAACTGCTGCTTCCTGGGCCAGATTTGGGTGCATTGGTGCTATCCCTTTGAATCAGAAGGAATTAGGTTATAGGATTCCTTTTAATACGCGTAGTTCCAATAGTCGTAAGATAATTAATTGGGTTACCACGTCCTCCAGTGACTAACCAACGTGTTTTCTATGTAGTTTCTTATAGAGCGAGTCAGCTGCCGCTATGCATAACTTATAAATAATATAAAATAAATAAATAATTGCCGGAAAGCAAGAGATCCGGGTACGAATCCCGGCTGGGGCGAAAGTTTTGCCCACAACTCAGCATTCCTGTGATAACTTTCGCAACGCGAACTGCGGCGTAAAACAGCAGTTATCCATTAAAATCAAGTCAAAAATTATACCAAAATAATTTTTGCTCAATCTGACCTGAAAAAAAAACGACCGTATGGAAAGAAAATCAGGATAGAAAGAATGAAATACACCTGTCATTTTTAGAAAATATTGATTAGCCATGGAAAGTGAAAGGATAGAAGGAAAAAGTGATCTACACAGAAAAAAACTTTTGATCTACAGACCTAATCAGAAACAATAGATTAGGCAACAAATGCGGCTGCCGAAAAATGAATAAACTTATAAGGAAATAACTAAAGGAACAAATAGAACAAACAGAGATGGTGTGTGTGCTCTGGAAGAGAAGAGAAAATTCCAAAAAAATTATTGATTTTTCACTCACTTATTTTTTTTATTTTCGTTATCATTTTATTTACAGCGTCTGAGCGATTATGGAACAAATTGAGTTTTATGGCAAAAAAAATGATGTAATTTCACATACTTAATATATCATATACTAAACAGTATGTTCACATTGAAAAAATCTGCGCTATCGCAAGGTACGGTGGCATCTTCTAATTGTAAGACAAAACCTTGGATGAGGCAGAAATTTCTGGAAAAATGAAATTGTTCATTCACCCTGGAGTCTCTCTTCCGTCGCCTAAGGCTTGGTCCCCTTTTATAAAGCAGGAAATATAATATGTATTTTACGTGTTTTAAAAGCTCTGCCACTATAATGGCCCCGTATCTTGCGATAGCGCCGAAAGTCTCTTACCTTCCGAGCTCTCAATAAATAACTCAAAAAATTGCATGTAGTTCAGAGCGAGTGCTTCAGCAAAAAAGTTTGTCTTGTGGAAGTAACAGCAACAACGCCTCGTCGGCCTTCTTCCAGGAAACGCTCATAGTCTTGGGGGTGGGGGAGGGGAGGAGGAGTTGAAAATAGGTAGGTGTCACTGGGTCACCCCAGGAGA